CAAAATTGTGAATTGTAAAAGTTGTTTTTTTATTTTGATGAAGATTAGGCAAAGATTTTTTTTCTCACGCTATTACTTCGAATTTCGTGATAACCATAGCTCAAAAAAAATTGCCAAAGATCTCAAAACTAAAAACTTAAAGCTTCAAAATATTTTTTTCTTTCAAAAATCACCAAAAAATTTTGGAAATTTTTTTGTTCCTTTAATTTTTTGGAATAGTGTATATTATTTTACTATTGTTTTTTATTTGTCTTGTAGCACTCGATGGTTGTTTTGGACTGACTGGGGCGAAAACCCGCGAATTGAAAGAATCGGAATGGACGGCACCAAACGTTCGACAATCATCAACACTAAAATCTATTGGCCAAATGGACTTACCCTAGATACTGCGACTCAAAGAGTGTATTTCGCTGATTCAAAACTTGACTTTATCGATTTTTGTTACTACAATGGAACTGGTAGACAACAAGTACTTGCAGGAAGTCACTACCTCCTCCACCCACACTCTTTAACCCTTTTTGAGGACACTCTATACTGGACCGATCGTCAACTCAATCGAGTTTTGTCAGCACACAAATTTAAAGGTTTGAATCATTTTGTGTGATTTTTTTCAGCTTTTTTGTATTAAATTTGAAAAAACTGTTCACGATGCGAGTGAAACTTTTTTTCGCATCAATACACTGATCAAAGCACGAATGAGCAAGAATATAAATGCTACACGGTCAGTATGGGCGCCGCCATATTGGCCTTGGCTGCTCTGCTGAGCGCCTTTCACTTTACTCCCACTCCGCGGCCGGCTGTAATGCGACATGCGATAGATGGACGAAAAAAATTCACTTTAACATAATTCAAATTTTTATTTTTTTTTTTCAGAAATTAAGCAGTATTTTTGTTTTAGGCAATAATCAAACGGTTGTTTCGCATCTAATTTCGCAACCTTTGAGTATCCACGTCCATCATCCCTCTCTACAACCAATTACGGAGAATCCCTGTCAGAATAATCCCTGTCAACACATTTGTTTGTTGTCACCATCGTCCAACACCGGTTATACTTGCAAATGCCGGGCTGGGTTTAAACTAATCTCAGATGGGCGATGCACTGAAGAAGAATTGTCGCTACTTTTGGTGATGACTGGTACCCAAATTATTGACGTTTCTGCCACACCAGGTGACACCTCCGCTGGGTTCCTTATCCCCATTGTAGGGGTCGAAAATGGGGTGCAGATTGAGTACGACCGGAAAAATAGTGTTGTTTTTTGGGTGGAGGGCAAGGAAAATGAGGATGAAAATGTAAGTATTTTTTTTAACGGAAATAACAAGTCAAAATTTTGGTGAAAAAATTGGTAGCAGCTTATAGCGTCGTCAAAAATTGTCAAAAAAATCAAAAAAAATGGCGTTGGGGGAGCGAATCTGTATACTTTGGTTTGAAACCTTGATAAATTTTGAATACAAAAATTTAAAAAAATTATTATTGATTGTAATTTTTGCTAAGAACTAGACTAAAAACATCAAAAATTTTAACATTTTATAAGCAAATATAATTTTATTTATTTGAAATTTTTTTTTTATTTGTGTGATACGCAAAATGTTATAAATAGTGGTTTAAAGTATTTTTTATGTCAATTATTATTGTTTGGAGGACAAAAAACATAGGTGTTCCATTTAAAAAATTAAATTTGGTAGCATTTCCGGCAACACCGGATGTGCTAAAAAAATTTGATACATTTATTAAGAAAGCCAAGAATGAATATTATTACTTAAATATTTACTTTTTGAAAAAAAGAAGTAAGTTTGGGTGTTATCAGCCGGGGCGACTTGGACCGAACACCCTGTACATCCTTTTTCTTCAAACTTTTTGTAGCAAGAACCTCATTTTTGAGAGCAAACAGGCACACAAGATTCATAATAGTCAAAATTTTGAAAACATAACCATATTTTTTTTTAATTTCTAGAGACAAAAACACAGAGCAAACAAACCAATTTTTTTACCAAAATTGTGACTTGGTAATTTCTAGACTTTAATTGAAGAACTCGATCCATTTTTTTTTCCAAAATGGATGTTTTATAGTTTTAAACAGAGTAAGTAATATTAAAGTCAACTCCACAAATTGTTATTTTTTTTATTTAGTCAAGTTGGGACATGTTTCGGCACCCTTGCGCCATCATCAGCCTTATTTATATTAACAAAACAAAAAGACGCCTTAAGTAATAAATTATGTTAATACAATATGACTTTCCCTTGAAAATTGTTACACTTTAAAATAAAAAATACACAAGATTAAAAAATTTAAATGTTTAGTGTCAAAAACTTTTCCTGATTATAACCAATGGAAAAATCAATCCTTCTGCTCAATTTCAAGCAGGAAAGCAACCTTAATCAAAGTATTTCAACAAAATAATGGCTTGAATAAGAGATTTCTTCCAAAATAAAGCAATTTGGACTATTTTGAATTCAGTTTTGTTCGATTTTACCACAGAAATCATTCTAAATGTATTTTATAAAAATAATTGCTTAAAATCAAATTTTAGACCAAAATGAAGCAATTTAAGCTACTTCCAATCCAATTTTGCTCGATTTTAATACAGAAATCATTCTAAATTAAAATATTTTATAAAAATAATTGCCTAAAATTTCTTTCTAGGCCAAAATAAAGCAATTTGTGCTAGTTTCAATTAATTTTAAACCGGAAATAAATCTGTGACAAATAATTTCAACAAATTAATACCTTAAATAAAAGTTTTCTTTCAAAATAATGCAATTTGAGCTACTTCGAAACCAATTTTGCTTAATTTTAACATTGGAATCATTCTAAATTTTATAAAAATTAAATATTTCACAAAACAATAAATAAAGAAAAATTAAATAGTGAAACATTTTTGTTTTTAAAATTTATAAAAGCTTTGGGGGCGATCAACTAAGCAAACTAACTGCAGTATTTTTGGTGTTATAAGTAGAGACCGGATTTTAGGACATTAAAAAATGCAAAAAAGGATCCTAAAAAAAGACATAAAATAGAACATTGTAATAGGAAAATAAGTTCATAGAATCTTAAAAAAACAAATGTTTTTTAATTTACAATATTTCAGAAAATAATTATGTTTTATAAAAAATCAAATTCAGTATGTTTTTGAACGCTTTGCTTGGAGACATTTTGCTTGAAAATATTTTGTTCTTAATTTAAACCTTTTATTAAGAGTAGTTTTTAATTAAATTTTTTTGAAAATATTTGGTTTTATGTTTGAATATTTTAATAAAAACAAAATTTATTTACAAACTTTTTGTGATCATACGGGCTTCGACTCTATTTGATAGAGCAGTAAAAACTCTACAAGTTGCTGGGGTTTTTAAGGGCAAAACCAACCTGAATCAGAGATTTTCAACAAAATAATTGCTTAACAGTTTTCCTTCAAAATAAAGCAATTTGAGCTACTTTCAATCTAGTTTTGTTAAATTTTAACACTGGAGTCATTCTAAATTAAAGTATTTTATAAAAATAATCGCTTAAAATCAAATTTTCGGCCAAAATGAACCAGTTTGTGCCATTTACAAGCGATTTGGCTTAATTTTCAGCCGAAAATCAACCTGAATCTAAGGTTTTTAACAAAATAAATGCTTAAATAACAGGTTTTTTTTGGCAAAATAAAGCAATTTGAGTTATTTTCAATCGATCTGGCTCAATTTTAAACCGGAAATCAATCTGAATCAAATAATTTCAACAAATTAATAGCCTAAATAAAAGTTTTCTTTCAAAATAAAGCAATTTGAGCTACTTCCAAACCAATTTTGCTTAATTTTAACATTGGAATCATTCTAAATTTTATAAAAATAAAATGAAAATATTTTACAAAACAATAAATAAAGAAAAACTAAAAAGTGAAAAAGGAAAATATATAAGAAAATATTCTTTAAAAATAAGTTTTTATTAAAAAAAATGTAGTAAAAATTGGAATTATTTCTTCAAAGAAGAACATTTTTGTTTTTAAAATTTATAAAAGCTTCGGGGGCGGTCAACTAAGCAAAGTAACTGTGCAGTACTTTTGGTGTTACAACTAGAGACCGGATTTTAGGACATTAAAAAATGCAAAAAAGGATCCTAAAAAAAGACAGTAAAAACATAAAATATGACATTGTAATAGGAAAATAGGTCATAGAATCTTAAAAAATAAATGTTTTTTAATTTACAATATCTGAGATAATAATTTATGTTTTATAAAAAACAAATTCACTATGTTTTTGAACGTTTTGCGATATTCCCGTTTTTCTTGAAAATATTTTGTCCAATTTTTATTTTTTTAATTTAAACCTTTTATTAAGAGGAGTTTTTGGAAAAAATCAATCCTTCTGTATATTTTTGCATTGGTTATAATCAGAAAAAATTTTTAACAGTGAACATTTCAATTTTTTAATCTTGTGATTTTTTTATTTTAAAATAACAATTTTCAACACTAAATCATATTGTATTAACATAATTTATTACTTAAGGCGTCTTTTTTTTTTGTTAATAGAAGGCTGATGATGGCGCAAGGGTGCCGAAACATGTCCCAACTTGATTAAATAATAAATTAATATTACTTACTCTGTTTAAAAAAAAAAAAAACTCTAGGCTTGAGTTCTCCGTACCAGTGACTTTGAAATTAAGTTGGCAATATTGTTTCACAGTTCACAGTATGGACCACGCCCTACAGCGGCGGTAACAAAACCCAATTCCTTGGCCTTGACTCCGGTATCGTGGGCTCCGCCTCGGCAATAGCCTTCGACTGGCTCGGTAGAAACCTCTTCATCGGTAATAGAGTCGCTAGCAACTTTGAAGCCGTCCGAGTTGACGGTAAAGTCAAACACCGAACGGTAATTCTCGCCAATGACGGTAACAAAACCTCTGTTGCGAAACCACGCGCCATGTGTCTTGATCCCACTGACGGTAAATTATTCTGGACTGATGAAGGCGGCTCTGGAGTACCACAGAAAATCGGTAAAGTCAACATGGATGGCTCCAATGCTGTGGTTCTAGTAGACGAAGTTGAACGACCCAGTGCCATCACAGTCGACATTGACACGAAAATTCTGTACTATAGTACGCAATTTCCGCCTAGTATTGTCTCGATTGACTACTATGGTAAAAATAGCAAGGTTATTTTAACCGAAGAAAATGCTATTTCGAAACCAAAGGCGTTGGGGGTGATGGGAAGTCGATTGTTTTATTTGGACCCGGTTTATGAGAAGTTGATGCGAGTTGACTTGCCCAATGGGAACAACGCGAAGACTATCCTCGAGAATGAACCCAACTTGAGGACCTTCACGATTTACAGGTATTTACTTTAATTAATAATTTATAAACAATTAGCAGTTGTTATTAACAATTTCTCAATTCATTCCACTCCATTCGATAGAACAGTAAAAACTTTAGAGTTTGCTGGGGTTTTTAAGGGCAAAACCAACCCTCTATTTCCCACAGGAACGAAAATATTAAGAATTGAAATTTTAAATAGAGCTAAAAATGCGGAAAATCAACCTGAATCAAAGATTTTCAACAAAATAATTGCTTAAATAACAGTTTTCTTTTAAAATAAAACAATTTGAGCTACTTTCAATCTAGTTTTGTTTAATTTTAACACTGGAGTCATTATAAATTAATGTATTTTATAAAAATAATCGCTTAAAATCAAATTTTCGGCCAAAATGAAGCAGTTTGTGCTATTTACAAGCGATTTGGCTTAATTTTCAGCCGAAAATCAACCTGAATCTAAGGTTTTTAACAAAATAAATGCTTAAGTAACAGTTTTTTTGCTAAAATAAAGCAATTTGAGCTATTTTCAATCCAATTATGCTTGATTTTAACACAGAAATCATTCTAAATTAAAGTATTTTATAAAAATAATTGCTTAAAATCTCTGTCTAGGCCAAAATAAAGCAATTTGTGCTATTTTCAATCGATTTGGCTCAATCTTATTTCTTTTAAAATAAAGCAGTTTGAGCTACTTCCAAACTAATTTTTGCTTAATTTTAACATTGGAATTATTTTAAATTTTATAAAAACAAAATATAAAAATAAAATATTTGACAAAATAATAAATAAAGAAAAATTAAAAAGTGAAATATTTTTTTCAGAGAAGGACATTTTTGTTTTTAAAATTTATAAAAGCTTTGGGGGCGGTCAACTAAGCAAAGTAACTATGCAATACTTTTGGTGTTACAACTAGAGACCGGATTTTAGGACATTAAAAAATGCAAAAAAAGGATCCTAAAAAAAAAGACAGTAAAAACCTATAATAGAAAAATAGGTCATAGAATCTTAAAAAATCTTAAATGTTTTTTAATTTACAATATTTGAGATAAAAATTTATGTTTTATAAAAAACAAATTCAGTATGTTTTTGAATGCTTTGGGATATTCCCGTTTTGCTTGAAAATATTTTGTCCAGTTTTAGTTTTGCGTGCGTACTTTTTTGTTAATAAAGATTTCTTAATTTAAATCTTCTATAAAAAGGGATTTTTTCATTAAATTTTTTTGAAAATATTTGGTTTTATGTTTGAACATTTTAAGAAAAACACAATTTATTTACAAACTTTTTGCTATCATACGGGCTCCTAAGAAAAATCATTAATTTTTCTATTGACTTGTAATAATTTTTGTTATTTAACTTGCATAAACTCTTTTGCTTTTTCCAAAATCACGAGAAAAATAAACTTTTTGAGTCAGAATAATAATAAAGTTTTATTTATAGATTTGCGCGTTTCAGGTTAAGCAAAAATGTTATGCCTTTGCAGTTTCGGCGCAAAATCAAAAACAAATTTCTTTGTTGAGGGCTTCGCCCCCGAGTAGAACTCACACTATCAGATTTTGTCAAAATTTCTTAAAGAAATGCTTAAATTAAAAAAATGTCAATCGAGAATTTTTTAAAACATCGTGCTACAAAAGACAGTCTGGGAGACTAAGGAAGTGTCTAGAAATACCGGTTTAAAAAATATCTAGATTTACAAACAAAAAAGTTTAAAAATGTCTCAAATAGAAATGCTCAAATTTAAAAAATGTAAATTGAGACTTTTGAAAATATCGTGTTAGAAAAGACAGTTGGGGAGACTAAGAAAATGTCAAGAAATACTGGCTTAAAAAATTTCTAGACTTGCAAAAAAACATTTCAAATTTTTTTAAAGAAATTAAAAAAAATGTCAATCGAGACTTTTTTTAAAACATCGTGCTACAAAAGACAGTCGGGGAGACTAAGGAAGAGTCTAGAAATACTGGTTTAAACAATATCTAGATTTGCAAAAAAAAAACTTGAAAAATTTCTCAAATAAAAATGCTCAAATTAAAAAAATGTAAATTGAAACTTTTGAGAATATCGTGTTACAAAAGACAGTTGGGGAGACTAAGAAAATATCAAAAAATACTGGCTTAAAAAATTTCTAGACTTGCAAGAAAACATTTAAATATTTCGTAAAGAAATGCTCAAATTTAAAAAATTGTCAATTGGGACTTTTTAAAACATTGTGTTGCAAAAGACAGTGGGGGCGACTATTGGAGACTATCAGATTTTGTCAAAATTCTCAACTTCACACTATCAGTTTTTGTTAAAATTTGTAAAGGGGGATCGCGGCTTGGCGGCTCGCCCCCTTCTAAACCTTACACTATCCGATTTTGTCCCTTCTAAACCTCACACTATCTGATTTGCAAATATTTTATATAATTAACAAAAACTCACACTATCGGATTTTGTCAAAATTCATTATTTATATTTATTTAAATTTATTTCTCCCCCTTCGAAACCTCATACTTTCAGATTTCACAATTTTTCTATTAATAAACTGGAAATCTATTTTTGTTTTTGTTACGTCGAAAGACATAATGAATTCATGTCATAACCTCACATTAAAAAATTCAATTAAATAAATTACACATTCCTTGGCCAAATTTCTTTTATAGTCAACACTCCTAACTCTACTAACAAACTTCGAGTCAGAAGGTTTTACTATTTCATACAGAAAAAACATTGTTAGGAGTGACGAAAGTAACAGATAGGCGATAACAAAATCCCGAAATAAAGTTAAAAAAAAATAAATAAATGATTTGTATTTAAAAAATTTGAAAAAACACTAAAATAAAGGACACAAGGGTTATATTTGTTGTATTAGGACGAAACTTTTAAAATTAAATTTTAAAATCAAAAAGGCATTTTACCTAATTAAAACCGTTCCCAAAGCTTTAATTAAAATTTTTCATTTTTAGTATATTTAAAAAAAAAAATTTAACAGGAAACGTCAAATGGTGGACCACCCGTGTCTGCAAGGCAACGGCGGTTGCGAACAGATCTGCCTCCCCGGCGAGGGCAAATCCCGTTCTTGCGCTTGCGGCGTCGGTTACAAAAAAGAAAACGAGATAAGTTGCACCCCTTACAAAACCTTCGCTGTGGTAGCCCAACTCGACATGGTCCGAGGCTACAGTCTCAAAGACAGTTCCGAAGCCATGGTCCCCATCAGCGGCCCCGGCCACCACATCCTCCACATCGACGTCCACTACCTGGAATCCTGGATCTACTGGGTGGAGCACAATCGCGTCACGTGGAACGGAATCTTCCGAATCCGGCCGAACGGAACCGAACTCCAACACATCATCAAAACGGGAATTGGGAGTAACGGAATCCGGGGATTGGCCATCGATTGGGTTTCCCGGAATTTATATTTCACCAATGTGTTCCCCCATGAGAATTATGTGGAAGTGTGTTGGTTGGATGGTACCAACCGGAAGGTGATTTTCAAGACTACTACTGACTCCCCAAGGGAACTAGCAGTGAACCCATTGAAACGCATCCTCTACTGGATCGATTATGGGCAGTACCCCCGGATCGGAAAGGCTAATCTGGACGGGTCGGGCTGGGGGCCCCTCATCACCTCGGGGATAAGCAACCCAACGGATTTGACCATCGATATGAACACCCATGACGTGTACTGGATCGACTCCAAACTCGACACCATCCAGAAAATCTCCCACAGTGGGGGTAACCGCCAAATCATCAGACGCAACTTACCCAACCCAATGGGTATCGCAGTGCACAAAAGCGAGGTTTATTGGGTCGACCGCAACCTCAGGACTGTCTTCAAAGCCTCGAAAATTCCAGGGAATACCACCCTTCCCATGCGAGTCCGGACCAACCTTCAAGGGTTGCGCGACATTGCCATTTTCGACGTCACCAACCAACCCACCGATGAGACCAACCCTTGCAAATTCCGAAATGGGGGTTGTGAACAACTCTGTTTCTCATTCCCGGGGGATGGAACCACGAGGAGCACCCTCAAGTGCGATTGCGCGACCGGGAACCTCGCCCCCGACGGGCGGAAATGCGAATACGCGAATGAGTATCTAGTGTTTTCGACACGGACTGAAATAAGGGCAATTAACCTCGATCCAAGGTCCACAAACACACCCTTTAGCCCTATTGGTAACCTCACAAACGTGGTAGGGATCGATTTTGACTACAAAGACCAGAAATTGTTGTTTACCCAAATCCGGCCATGGGCCCGCATCGCTTATATGCCGGCAACTAATCCCAAAAACACCGATATTAAGAATATCATCAGTCGCGGGATTAATCCCGAAGGGATTGCGTACGACTGGACCCAAAAGAAGGTTTATTGGACGGATTCTAGCAACCACAGTATTTACGCCATGAATTTAGATGGGTCACATTTAGTGATGATTGCTAGAGTGGAGCGTCCTCGAGCTATAGTTATCGACCCTTGTAAAGGTACTCTCTACTATACCGACTGGGGGAAATTTGGTACCAATGGCAAAATTATCCGAACCACCATGGCTGGGTCCTTGAAACGGGTCATAATCGACAAGAATTTGGCCCAACCTTCGGGTTTAGCCCTTGATTATAAGGACAAGAAGTTGTATTGGACCGACGCCGTGCGTGAGAAGATCGAAAGGGCGGATTTGGATGGGCAAAACCGAGAAGTTCTCGTCTCTGCGACCATTTACCCGTTTTCCATAACCGTCCATGGGGATTATATCTACTGGACCGATTTGCAACTAAGAGGTGTTTATCGGGCTGAGAAACACACCGGGAATAATATGGTCGAGATGGTTAAGAGATTGGAGGATAGTCCTAGGGATATTCAAGTTTATACAACCACACGACAGACTTGTAGTGTCAATCCGTGTAATATTAATAATGGTGGGTGTGCACAGAGTTGTCATCCTGGACCAAATTCCACGGCGGAGTGTCGATGTGATGATAATACGAAGTTGGTCAATGAGGGGAGGATGTGTGTCGCTAAGAATTTGACTTGTGATACGAGTAAATTTTATTGTGCTAATGGGAGGTGTATTTCGAGGATGTGGGCCTGTGATGGGGAGGATGATTGTGGAGATAATAGTGATGAAGACACCAATTATTGCTGTAAGTATGATAGAAAATTAAATTTGCTTTAAAACGGTACTAAACATGGGAGGTTATCACTAATAAGTCCGGAGCTTCGGGTGTCAAAAATCCACCAAAATTTCGACAAAAATCCAAAAAAATTGATCCATATAACGTTTTTTATGTTTCTGAAGTCTTAAAGAGTCAAAAAAGTGCATAAAACGTTAAAATTAAAAAAATTAAAATTTAAAAAATTACGAATTTTTCGAGTTAGCAGAACTGTGCCTCAATGATATAATATTTTGACCTAAACCTATGTAAAATGTTCCGGGGAATCGATTGGCGTCAAAAAAAGTGCAAAATTCCTAATAGTTTTGAAGTTATAGTTGGATTTATATTTTCCATACTTTAGACTTTATCACAAATTTTCTCGATAACTATTTATCGTTAAACACTGATCTTTTTTGACATTTTGTTGTAAAATTTTATGAAAATAACTCAAGTGGTTTCAGAGGAACTAATAATGGATTGTAATCACTCTGTATATCTGTAACGAAGTTTATTTGACAAGTTACAGTTATTTTTCAATGTAGAATAACGATCTAAATCGAGCGAAATAAGAATTAAGTTTGCACGAGGTAGTAAAAAATGCATTTTAGACTTAATTTTGAAAAGAAGTAAGGTAAATTTTGCAATTTTTAGCCTAGTTTTGGCAAATATCTTAAAACTAGCATATTTTTAAGTAAAAACCGCGATAATTCGTGAAATGAGACGAAAATAACACATTTCGGCTCTATTTAGACTTACTGCTTTGTTTTTTTTTTTAAATGAGTTTCTTAGTGATTTTTTAAACAAGTAAAAAAGTAGAAAATCTTTTAAATTGAGAGAACCATTTGAAAACAAAACATTTCACTCTTCATTCTGTAATTTTTTTAACTTGTTTTGACAAATTTTTCAAAATTTACTGTTTGCTGAAAGTCACTCTTAATTTAGCTAAATAAGTAAAAATAACGCATTTTAGACCTAATTTTACGATTTTTTTGGCCAAATCTTTAGCAATTAATGTGTTTTTAAATGCTAATAAATGTGCAAAATAGTCAAAAACAACACATTTGGCAAAATTTTGTGATTTTTACATTTATAGAGGTCTTAAACACTCAAAAAAGTGCATAAAACGTTATTGGGTTAAATTTAAAAAATTACGAATTTTTCGAGTTAGCAGATTTTTACTTTTTTTTGTTTTGTAAATTGCGGCAAAACTGTGCCTCAATGACATAATATTTTGACCTAAACCTATGTAAAATGTTCCGGGGAATCGATTGGCGTCAAAAAAACTGCAAAATTCCTAATAGTTTTGAAGTTATAGTCGGATTTATATTTTCCATACTTTAGACTTTATCACAAATTTTCTCGATAACTATTTATCGTAGAACACTGATCTTTTTTTATATGATAGAAAATTAAATTTGCTTTCCAACGGTACCAAACATAAGATGTTATTACCAATAAGTCCGGAGTTATTGGCAATAGACCGCTCCGGGTACCAAAATTTTGACGAAATAATCAAATTTTACTTTGGATTAAATGAAATTGACATTAAATGTGACAGCTATGTCATTCGTAGTGGATTGTTTCCACGATAATTGGTACGCTCAAAATTCTTACTTTTTGATTTTGCAGCGCGGTGTAGAGTTTAGTTTAAACCCAAATAACTCGAGAACGGTACATTTTGGCGATATGGAACAAGAGTACCTTTTTTATAAAAAAAATGATTGCGCTTTTGATTTTTGGCATCAAAAATACGTGTTAATAGGCTGAAAAAAAGAGTTATGACCCAAAAACTGTAAGGGTCTCATTGTTACCGGAAATGTATAGCTTTTACAAGACTTTCGTTTACACCATATCAAAAAGTGTCCTTTTTTCCCTTGACATGCGAAGTTTCATAATAATCGGATAAACGATACAAAAAAATCATTTTTCATACCGATTTTTGGAAAGCTGTAATTTTTCTATTTTTTTGAGGTAGGTTAGTAATTTTTATCTTTCTTTCAGCTTTCCACTCTTGCTCCCCGAACGAATTCCGTTGTGCCAACGGTCGCTGCATATTCAAATCATGGAAATGCGACCACGAGAACGACTGCAAAGACGGTTCCGACGAAAAGGATTGCCAATATCCACCTTGTGCTGTCGGGGAGTTCACTTGTGCCAATCACAGATGCATTCCCATGTCTCAGGTAACAAAACCAAGTATTTCCCCAAACTTTTGCTTAATCAAATCACACATATACAGGTTTGCAACGGCGTAAATGACTGCAAAGACAACGTGACATCTGACGAGACCCACGAACGTTGTCCCCAAAACACCACATGTCCTGCTAACCACCTAAAATGCGAGAAAACCAACATTTGTGTCGAACCTTATTGGTTATGTGACGGCGATAATGATTGCGGTGATAATTCCGATGAAAATCCATTGCATTGTGCACAAAGGACTTGTCCTCAAAATAGTTTCAGGTGTCCTAATCATCGTTGCATTCCTGCGACTTGGTTAGTGGAAAAAATTCAAATGAAAATTTAATTATAACACGAAATAAATTATTTTAGGTATTGTGATGGTGATGATGATTGTGGTGATGGAGCTGACGAACCGCCGGAGTATTGCAAGAGTGAGGGCCGGACTTGTTTCGGTGATTTGTTCACTTGTGATAACGGAAATTGTGTTCCACGAATTTATATCTGTGATGGCGATAATGACTGCTTGGATAACAGCGATGAGGACAGCAGACACGAATGCAGTAAGTTATTCGAATTTATTAAAAATTTGTGAAATTGCAAAATTAGTTTTTTCGAATTTTTTATTTTTTACCACTAGTAATAGAAACATCAAATTATACCTTAATCAAATTTAATTATACAGGGTGCGCCAGAACTCGCGCCCCAGAGAAAAAATTTCAAGTAAGATAAGATACCAGGAACATGAAAAAAATGTTTAAAAAATTCTATCTGTCAAAAAATTTTGACATTGATTTTTTGACATTTGACATATTTTTATATCTATTTAATGATACTGATGATCTTGTATATGTTTTTTTACAATTATTTAAAAGGTACAAAAATTTTGACAATAAAAGCCACAAATAACATTGAATAGAGTTACAATTTAGGATACAGCTTCCTTGTTTCCTCTTTTAATAGCCTATAGCAAAAAAACTTGGAAAATTATTTTTCCAACAGAAATAAATAGAGTTAAAGTGTAAACTTTAAACCCTCATAACTTCGAAATTTTTATAGATAAAATTTTTTTAACATTTTTTTCCATGTTCCTGGTATCTTACCTTATATGACATTTTTCTCTGGGGCGCGAGTTCTGGCGCACCCTGTATAA